ACTGACAGTAAACAACGTATACCCAAAAGAGTTATTTCCCCTTATATACTACAGTAAGGCCAAAAACAAGATTACAAACACCTCGAATAACCTGGTCATGACCTGTCTTAAATTTTCCTGTGGACCTTAGAACATTTTATCACTACTTTGTATCCATGAAGATTATTTTAATAACCAGGCAAAACTCACAGCCACTTTCTTGCTGTTATTGTCATGGGATCCTGACCACATTCTTGACAGAATAATAACCATTGAAATGCATAGAATTTCATTTTTCCTACATTTGTTATTACCCTTTAAATATGTAATGATCCATGAAAATAAAAAAAAAATGAAATAAAATTGTATGCTTATATACTGACCAACTCTTTTTTCCCTCTGGAATGTCGCCTGAAACACATTTTTTGTTTGCTTTAACCCCTTCTCAAGGAGGAATGAATGATCAAGAGGTAGCAAAATATTCATAAATTTGAAATAGCACTACAGGACCTAGCTTTCCATCCATGAAAAGTATTGGATTCTAGCATATCTGTACCTGAATAAGAAGACTGTTGAAAATTTAGTCAATTTGACCTCTTTTTCGGCTCGAACTCCTGGCGGATTATTTAGATCCATATGCAATTCATTAATTTGACTTGCATTTGACCATGGAACTTTACTTCAAAACTTAATTGATGTGGTGACCATGATGGACAAAAGGAAATCACAAGAGGTCAACACCAAGACTTTGATAACAAAAAAATAACATTTTCTAATTTAAGTTCACAAATCATAAATGGACATACTCACTGCCTACCAAGATGTTAGAATGTCCTGTTGTTGTATGAATGCAGTAAAGAACAAATTAAGAAGGATACATATAAATCTATATAAAATGTACCGAGTAATGGGAAATGTATGGAGGAGTTCTATATAAGTATTATGTTTGCAGTGTTTACATAATTTCAAGTTGTGCTATATTTCCACCAGGATTTGAACCTGGGTCTCCCACCACAGAGTGGCAAGTGTGATGACCACTACACTATAGAAATATCTTTAGCACAACTGACCTTTTCTTTCAAGATTTATTTCCATTTTTGTCTTTATATAATTTTTTTTTACATGTTTTTGCCTTTGCATTGATATTAACATTCTCCTTCTGCTTTTCTTATTACATTGGAAAGTAGCGGAACTGGACTAGGTTGATCGTCGGCGACCAGATAGCTCAATTGGTAGAGCGTCCATCCAGAGTTCGGAAGCTCCCAATAAGTAATATTGTGACAGATACGAACTAACAAAGTAGGCGAAGCATAAATTATTTGACTTACTTTTAACCTTGACTTGCACAGGCCTAGCTTTCGTGAAGCTGATGATTGTTTTCTTGTTGATAGAGTGACATACACATATTGAAATCAGTAGACCTTTTTGTCAAACATAAAACCTGTCTGTGAGGAGGTCAAAACTGGTAAAATTCACTCCATAGTTGATCATTTGATATCGGATTGGCCTATATCCTCCTCTGTTCGATATTGCACGCTTCCCGGCGAGGTTTTCTGTTCCAATCTTTTTCAACCAATCAGAATGTGGCAAGTTTTGAAGCCTGCGATTTCCAAACCGCAAATATTTTTATTGCTTAACCTGATTCATCAAAAACGTTGATAACTTTCAATTTTTGACCCGTTTTAATAAAGAAACACTTCAAACCATAATGTATAAGTTTGCAAAATCATGTAAATATGTTACGATGTGAACCATATTTTTTATTCCCACAGAGAAGTTTAAACGGTGCTTTTTTAGCTTTTGATCTATTAATAACCAACCAGAGCGTCATAGATTTTAACTAATGTACTAATGTCCGATTTAACAAAACGAGCCAACATTAATGCTCGGGAACACAATAACAATTAAAGATAGTCCTGAGTATAAACAATGTAAACATAGTGGCGCTACAATACGATACGACAGCCGGAAAAGATTGTCACTTGGGAAGATCTCAAAACCAGGATTTTATTTTTTCAAATCTCAATTGAAAGCTTTTTAACTTGCACTATCAGCTTTAAAGCCTTATAACAATTTAAATGATTACACTCAATTTCTTTTACTCTGTCACATGATTTAAGACAGTTATACAAGAAAGATGGTTTGATCATAGAATCAAGGTTTGAGCACGAGAATGGTTCATGAATATGGGCCTAGGTCACAAACTATTGAGATAGCTTAACCTCTTTTCCTATATTTTTTGAGGCAATGATATTTTGTGGTAACCTTTATTTCATGTCAAGATTATTTTATTTTTGCAGTATCTAATTATTGTGATAATCTTATTTCTATGCCTGTTGGTCTATCCATATTGCTCTATATTAAGTCCTCTCCTCTGCTGATATTTAAATGGCCTTCATCTAGACAAAGCTCTACTCCCACAAGTCTGGATCACCAAGTACTGAGATGATTTAAGCCACCAGGTTTAAGTGCAGTGTATTCAGATGACCTATGCATCCCTTCAGAAATAATTATCCTGACAAGACAAATAAGAACCATCATCTCTAAGTGTTAAGTGCTTAGGTGGTGTATATCTTTAAAAAACTTCTTCCTAATAGTGGCTAGTCTTGCTTACAGAATTTTCCTCCTCTTGGTTTTTAAATCCTATGCAACATCAAAGACATCTGACAGATCCTCCTTTCTGATTGGGTCCCTAAATCTTAAGTCTTTAGGTGACGTTGACCTCCTGCAGGACTAGGTCCACTAATATTCCTATCCCAAACCTTAACTAGTAGATACAAATCCTCAGATGGAAAAAGGACCCCCCCTCCCTACCCGTCCCAACACCCCAACCCCTGTCTCTTCAAGTAATGAGACAACATACTTTTCTTTGTAGCTTCCCCTCCATTCCCAAATGGATTTTATACAATGTATATCAGTGAAGAGTTCCTTTGTTTTCTATCAATAGGTCACTTATCTGACCCCTGCCATAACATTTAGATGACCTTACTTCACTACAGAGCTCGTCTGGCAGGGCTAGGTCACCAAGCTTGCCCAGGTCTTCTTGCAGCTTTGTGTTATGTAGGCTTGGCTCAATGGTTAGTGTTGTCACGGTAACACCAGGCTTTGCCATTTCTGGAGAAAGAAACCAATAGATCCTGATAACAGGCAACACATATTATTGTTAACTATGAACATGAGCTTATCAAAGTTTTACTATATTCACAAACAATGTACATATAAACAAGAGCACCACAAACAAATGCATAATACGCCCGTCTGACCCTATCCAATGACTTTTATTTGTTTGATATTTAAAGTACCTGGTAGCCAGTGTCATGTCTATGTGATAAAAATGCTTGCACTGATGCTTTTGTTGCTAAAGTCCAAAAATTACAAAAATAGGAATTATTTTCCCAAATTAAATCCATATTGTCCTTGTTAGACCCCACATGAACATCCATGCCAAAATTAGGACAATAACACATGATCTGACTCAACTGTACACCACTGAAGAAATATACCCAAACTTTAACTGAGAAATTGCGCGAGAAAAGTTAAGTCCCAAACACGTCCAAAATTTCCAAAAAAAGAAACTATTTTCCCAAATTAAATCCCACATGAACATCCATGCCAAAAGTTAGGACAATAACACATGATCTGACTGAACAGTAGACCACTGAAGAAACTTGCACCAAAACTTTAACTGGACGGACAGATGGACGCAGACGCTATTCCATAATACCTCCGTCGAATTTCGACGGGTGTATAACCAGTCACGACATATCAGGATCATCTGGTCTCCAATAGATAAAAATACATTTACAACTTTGTCACGTTGTTGTACCCGGTAGACAAAGCAATTCACTCACTCAGTCATAAAGCATTTAATTCTCACATGTTTATGCATACATTGTTTGAGTTTTATTTCATCTATTTGTGAATCACTTTATTCCACAATCAGGTTTGTGATACCAATACACTGTATTGTATACCAAAGCTCAATTTGGAAAAACAATATGCATAATCAGATTCAATAATGTAACAGATATAGGTCTAGGAACCTACCAAAGGCGTGGAATCTTTTGTAGTGGTCATCAATCTCATCCATCAGACTTTGCAGACGACACTGCTTGGCCAATCTCAAACAGTCTTCTATATTGTCAATATGAGTGTCGAGGCAGCCTGACAATAGAAATATAATGTCTCCTCAATACATAAGCCTTACAATAGAAATACAATGCCTCCTCAATACACAAGCCTGACAATAGAAATACAATGTCTCCTCAATACACAAGCCTTACAATAGAAATACAATGTCTCCTCAATACACAATGTAAATCAACTTAACCAGGAAATATAAACAAATGAGCCATGTTGCATTATGAATTACCATCTTGAGTTGAAAAAACCTTTCTTAAATGAGAGTGTTGTATTTTGCAGCTTCTATGCTAAAATATTTACCAGGGTTGAAGGCGTATCTTACAACAAAAAGGGAAGTTAGATATGTATAAATATATCGTCAAAACAGCAACAAATTACAACACTATTGTTATAATGATTCTGTCTGTGTTATAATAATTACAACTATCTTTTTTCAATTAGAGTGCAGAAGAGCTGCTCGTGTGAAAAGTTCAGCGAGGATTAAAATCTCCCACATTAGATTTCTGTAGATGCATGGACATCTAATTGTACCGTCACCATATAAATAACTGAGAAATGTCTGTCCCATTGAGGCATAGTTAGAGCAATGGCCGACCTGAATATTATCATATAATTAAGCCTTACACTTGATTTACTCTACTTAAGATTAAACAAACAGTAAATAACAGTTTTGTTTAAGAAGACAATTACAGACCGAATAATATAACCCAGCATTCATTTCATGTCAGGAAAGAGATTTTTCATGACATCAGGCATGACATTGTCAATCATCATGAAAATACTTAATGGGTCATTATGTTTATTAAATTTATCAAATTAAAATTTTAAAAAAATGCTTCTGGTACTACTTATAAAGGGACTTACCTGTGTATAGGTTTTGTAGGATTGACTTGAAGGCAACAGGTACAACCTATAAGTTGACAGAGATGTGTATGTTGAACACGTTTATTAAAACTAAACTAATGTTCTGACTGACAAAACTCAACCACGTGACTCAACCTTATATTCTGGTGTCTGACTTGAAATGTAGTAAGTTGGAGAGTCAATAGTCTGCGGTCAAAAATGCCTATGACTAAGATGTTGGCCCCAAAATCAAAAACATGGCTCACTATTTTCATTGACAGCATTGCAATCAAAAACTGCTCAAGAAACATTTAATAGTAAAACTGCTCAAGAAACATTTAATAGTTTAAAGAGTATTGGTAAAAGGTATGTCTGAATTTTGTCAGTATAATAATACAGTCAAATACTCCTGTATTGACCCAGTAGCTGGTCTCAGGTCCTCATTGACTGTAATAATCCAAACAGATGTAAATAACTGTATAAAATCACCTTCCACCTCAAAATAGAATACATAATTACACAAGTATACTATGAATTATTCTGTATACTTATGCTATGATTTATTGTAAAAGTGCAAATATGTCTAGTTTTTAATATCACAAATGTTGTTCAAATGACTTATATATGTGAGGATTTGAAATCAGGAAATGAACAAATTAACATTCCTTAAAATCATTTTGGATGAATATTTGTCAGATTTTTTAATATATAATTAAATCTCCTTACCAAATATCTGTGTACGTAAAGTCAGTATATTGATGGGGTAGGCCTTACCAGAGCATGTTTAAGTGTGATGACACGCCGACCCAGCCATCTAGTTTTGAACATGGTGGCGAAGTATTCACATCTAGCTGCCAGTATACAGCGGTGGACTTGGAACATCTTATCATGTACATAGAATGTCACATCACTGTAAACACCATCCTCCAACAGTCTACAGTACAGATACAGCACACATAAGTATAGTACAGATACAGCAAACATAAGTATAGTCTACAGTATAGATACAGCACATACAAGTAAAGTCTATAGTATAAATACAGCATATACAAGTAAAGTCTACAGTACATATACAGCATATACAAGTATATTGTACAGTACAGATACAGCAAACATAAGTATAGTCTACAGTATAGATACAGCATATACAAGTAAAGTCTATAGTATAAATACAGCATATACAAGTCTACAGTACATATACACCATATACAAGTATATTGTACAGTACAGATACAACAAACATAAGTAGAGTCTACAGTATAGATACAGTACAAATACAGCATACATAAGTATGGTCTACAGTACAGATACAGCACACATAAGTATAGTACAGATACAGCAAACATAAGTATAGTATACAGTATAGATACAGCATATACAAGTAAAGTCTATAGTATAAATACAGCATATACAAGTAAAGTCTACAGTATAGATACAGCATATACAAGTATATTGTACAGTACAGATACAGCAAACATAAGTATAGTCTACAGTATAGATACAGCATATACAAGTAAAGTCTATAGTATAAATACAGCATATACAAGTAAAGTCTACAGTACATATACAGCATATACAAGTATATTGTACAGTACAGATACAGCAAACATAAGTATAGTCTACAGTATAGATACAGCATATACAAGTAAAGTCTATAGTATAAATACAGCATATACAAGT